CTAAGACCGTTACCAGGAAATGGTTCAAGGGAGGCGCCTGGACAGAAGCTAATAGTGACTATCATTTACCAAGTACTTGCTTAGTTGCTAGCTCTGTTGCTACGTGCCTCACATCCATGATCTTGCCTCATCCCCCCAGCATCTCTGTGAAGTAAGTTTCATGATTCATTTTACAGATGGGAGAATTGAGACTTAGAACTCTTGCTGGAACTCTTATTTTCAGCAAAATGGCCAGCTAGGTCATACAGAGACCCTCTGATGACAAGGTTCAACTGTTTGTATATAAATTGAAAAAAGAAGAAAAGGGAGACAAGGGAGCCCTGAATTCCAGAAACAAGATGAAGCTAAGGGCCAGAGCAGTGGACACAGGACCAAAATCTACGGCAGGCCTGGGAGACACACAAGAGCATCAGCGCCAGGGAGACTCAGAACAGAATACTTTCAGAATCAGCAGACAGGGCACATCCACAGTGAGAAATTGGAACTGAGGCCCCGCATAATGCTGGGATCCTCAAAGGCTGCAAGTCACTGAGAAGAGGACTAAAAAAATGGTGCCTACTAGACCAGAAGGATGACATGGAGGCGTTTCTCTGCCATGGCTTGTGGGGGGTGGGGGATGTGCTAAGAGACCAAGCCTATACCTCAAAAGATCTTGAAATCTAAACCTCATACTAGAGTAGTCCTAGAACGCCAACCTAAGAAATCAACCTGAAAAGCAGTCCCAGATGAGTGGTTCCACTGGGGTGACCAGCAAATGTAATCAGAAAACCACCCTGGAAGGTTAGTTCAACCACGCAAGATTCCCATAGGAAAGGCAAGCCTTCTGAGAATTAACAGAATCATAGAACACACAGGAAATGATTGACCATGAGCTGGAGTCATTAACTACAACATGCAGAAGGATTATCACTCCCAAGAACTTAACAGTCTGAAAAAGACTATAAAATGAATACACGTTTAAATGACCAAAGAGAGAAAACGGTGTATTAAGACCACAGAACAAGACAGTATCAAGAAAGAAACAGGTGGATTTTGAGAAGGTCCAAAAAGCCTATCCAGAAATTTTTAAGTACGCTAATTTAAATTAATGACCCAAAGAACAAATTAAACAGCAGATCAGACACAAATGATGGGAAAATAAGTGGAGTAGAATAGATATTTAAAGAAATAAATCAGGATAGTACACAGAAAGATGGAAATTAAGAAAGAGGTTAAGAGACATGAAAGCTAGGAGAAGATCCTTCAAGCATTTAGTATCTAATTCCTGCAGACGAGAGAGAGAAAAGGAGAAGGGAATATTCAAACGGCTGAGAGCCAAACTTTGCAGAACTAATGAGAGACACGAATGCTGATTGAGCAGTCCGTGGTGTGGCCTATCAGTTCCTGTGTGGAGCAGGCATGCATGCTGGGCTCCATGCTTGCAGACAGACTCTCAGCCTAAAAGTTCCTCTTCAGAAAATTTGTGTCTCATTGTCACAAAACACCCAACAGAAGTTTTGTGCTTCACACTTGGCTGTAGAGACAGTCTGGTTAGTCTAAAGAATTAACCATCCTTCTTTTCCTCCCCTATTGTGCATATGAAGACACTGAGGTTTAGAGACGTTAAGCAACTTGGACCAAGTCACACAGTTTGCATGGGAATTGGGAAGTGGGGTCCAAATCCAGGCAGTTTGCCTGGAGAGAAGGCTCACTTAAGTGCTTTGCATTTGGCCACCGATGACTAGAATAAAAGGCTCCGTCAAGCTCTAGTGTCCTGTGACGTGGATCCTGGATTAGTGAGACAGGCCTGACCTTGGTTAGTCATTTATTCATCCCTCAAACATCGGTGGAGTACAGTCATTGTTCCTATCCAGGTCTGGGCCCTGGGATACTGAAATGAATCAGACAACCCCTGATCTCTAGGAACTCATCATTTAGGTTGCACTGTTTGGGGGTCAGGGGACGGAGAGAAAATCAAAATTACAATATTGGAAAGAGAAGTACTGTGATGGAGTTTGCCCGAGAGGCTGGAGGAGCACAGAAGAGTAATGTTTCACTAAGATTCATACATTCACATTCTCTGCTTAAGAAATGGTTTCTAAAAGTCTCTCCAGAGCTTAGAGAATATTGTATTCCTCAGAAGGAACTGAGTTCAGATTCTGTGTCAGCTTCTTCACTGACTATGTGGCCTTCACCAAGTTACTTTACCACTTCAAGCCTCTGGTTCCTTTTCTCTAAAATGAGAGTGACAACAGTGGCTACTTCATAGAAGATTCAATGACGCATTCCTTATCATGTATTAGCACGATGCCTGGCACTCAATAAATGTGGCGATTCATCATCACCATCCCCATCGGTTTAATATAGGTACTAATGGTAACAGATATAATTCCTGGCTAACCTTCCCCCAGGACTAGAGAGCAGACAGCCCTCTTCACAGGAAGCAGTTCTTTCCAGGTGCCACAGAACTGAGTGTTTATAAAAGGGTAAAACACAGGCTTCCAGGGACTGCTTTGGTGGAAAAAAAAAAAAAAAAAAAAAAAAGACCAGGCAAGAGCTAATAAAATTTCAAATTAGCCATGACTTTTCACGGCCCTTCAATTGTGCTAGCTGATTTAATGGTCAACGTCCCTGCTCACTGGGATTGAATAATGGAGCATTTCTGCAGAGTTATAGATGCGACAGCTGAATCTGTCATGCTAACATCAATAGCAGAATGCAAATAACCCTCAGCTTCGGCTGTAATTATGTGTTTAAGCAACGTCTGACAGGGTCAGCATGAGAATGTGTGATGGAGCCTGCCGACTGCTGGAGAAGACAGGTGCTTTACTAGGTGGTCGTGTCTGGGAGCTGGGACAGGAGCCACAAGTTAGGACGCAGATCAATGCTGGGATGAGGGGAGGCATTCCTTCCATATCTCAGAGTGAATCTAGCAGGTGAGCAGACCAAGGATGAATGGCTCTTTATGTTGGTGAGCCATGTTCTAGCTTCAGGATCAGGAAGGGAAACTAACCCAGAATTAAACACTATGTGCCAAATATCATGTGTCAGGTACTGTGCTAGATTTGGGAACATAATGCTGTACTTTTTGTCTATATAACCAATACTTTCATATGACGCATACTCTTATGATATCCCCTTTAAGAGGTGTGGGAAACTAAGGCCAGAGAGTTTAAGTAACTTGCCCACAGTCACACACTAGTAAGTTTCAGTGCCGGGATTTGACCCCAGGCAGTCTGTCTCTGGAATCCATACTCTTTATCACTATCTGCATTCAAGGAGACTACAAGCTTTTGGGTACCATGCAGAGATGAGAGAGAAACAGAAAGACTTTTTGTTACTAATTTATTAAGGAAAAAATTAGGTTTTAGGACAGTCAAGTAGCTTACCTGAGGCCACATCCCTAGCAAGGAGGATCAGGGACGGAGTCTAGCCAATGCACTTGCAATACTTCGGTGGGCAGCTTCTGTATTGCAACCTCCATGGAGAAAACTAGAGAGGTGTGTATATTACTGTTACTCCCATATTATTGATGAGATGGGGGATCAGAGAGACTAAGTACAGGAACTTGCCCAGGATCACTCTTAGGGGCAGTACTGGGTCTTGAACTGTAGTCTCTGAACCTCATGGTCCTCCTACCACAGCACACTGCTTATCTGAATGGGATGAAGATACAGTTTTCTGGCTTTTATGGGCTGGCATTCAGTCTCAACCCCTGCTTCCTTGGTTAATTCATTCAATTCTCATTCATTTATTTGTATAACAGTTATGTTTTAAGCACCTCCACTAAGTGCTGGAACACAGAACAGATCTGTGTGCTCCCACGGTTGTAGGGAAGTTTGGCAAAGTCACACAGCTGAGACACAGCAGAGCCAGAATTTGAACCCAGGAAGGAATACATGTCATTACACTGTTGTCTGCTGACAAAACACACAGACTGTAACCCTGGGCTATTCCTGTCCCCCACTTGGGGCACTATCTGCTGATCTCTTTGTTATCATTTTAAGCTATTCTATTAATATTAGGTTCCTGTAAAAGTACTTTGATATAATGAGGCCACAAATCGGTGATCTGGTGGGCTTTCTTTGTACTTTGGGAAGATAGTAGCGCTGTAATACAAGTTCTAGTCCTGAAGAAGTCCATCCATGTGACAATTCCCTGCTAATGGCAACTCTGACAGGAATCTGAAACCATCTGGCAAACTCAAAAAGCACAAATATCCCTGCAGCCTCCTCTCACAGAAAGCAGAGCAGGCCTCCAGAGGGCTGAAGACTGTGCTGCAGGCCACACGCTTTCCCTGTGCCTGGGAGAGATGCTGAGAATTGCCGTACCTTCACTCCCAAAGTCAGGCAGTCATCTGGGCTTACGGTTTTACTTCCTAAATGTCTCTCAATACCATCTACTTTTCTTAATTGCCACTGTTAATACTGCAGTCTAAGCAACCTTTATTTTTCAACTGTGCATCCTCAGCAACACCCCCTCCCCTGTCTGGCCCCCAGCTTCCACTGAGGCCCCCTTCAGTTTCAGCAGTGCACACCAGATGAAGTCACCTCCTGCTTAGAAGCCTTCAGTGGTTCCCATTGTCCTGAGGGTGAAATTCAAACTCGCTAACCTGGCCTAAAAGGCCCAGCCTGGTGTGCCCCTGTCAAGCTCAGCAGCCTCATCTGGTGCTATTCCATTCACCTTCTGGACTTCAGCATTTGAATATAGCAGCACAAATGTTCATGTGTTATCTCACTTCTGGGTCTTCATACATACAATTCCTTTTATCTCAATGGAAGAAAAAAATATAGTACAGACACTGTATACTTACTGTCTGTCTCTCCTTCTAGACTAATGGGCTAGGACCACATCTGAGTCACTTGGATCTCTTTGATGCCCAGCAAAGGCCTTGGCTAAGATCAGCATTTAATCACGTTTTTAAATGAGTAAAATATAGAGAAGAAATGAATTAAGGCATTCTGGACAAACCTGGCTGATTGAACATAGCAATATAACCACATGCTCTGTCACCCCTGCAGATGGCCTAGTGGACTGCATGGACCCTGACTGCTGCCTCCAGCCCCTGTGTCATGTCAACCCACTGTGCCTTGGATCCCCTGACCCTCTGGATATCATCCAGGAGACACAGGTCCCTGTGTCACAGCAGAACCTACACTCCTTCTATGATCGCATCAAGTTCCTGGTGGGCAGAGACAGCACGCACATAATCCCCGGGGAGAACCCCTTTGATGGAGGGTGAGTCTGAGGGCCCAGCTCCAGCTTTTGGATGAATAGGGGTGGGAGGAAGCCAGGAGGGTGAGCCTCCATGGTTCCTGATGTGATGTCAGGGGAGGCAGAGAAGCAGCCTCAGGTACCTGCATTTATAAAACTACTATCCAAGGAGTTTGGAATTTTTATGAGCAAAGTTTTGTTGCTCCCACTGGGTGACAGATGAAGAGAGTGAGAAACCAAAGGTCCTAAGGGAATGTTGGATCAATCTCCACTTTACAGTCAGCTCTTACTGATCCTGTGGTCTCCAGATGAGCTGAAAGGCACTGACACTGCTCACCCTCAAAGTGGACATCCAGAAGACCTTGCTAGGCAGGAGATGGGTACATCTGCTGGCATTCCATGCCACATACCCATACAATCTTCATGTTTGCAGTTGTGTCATCTGTTGGACATTTCTTAACTGAGGTCTGTGTCAGGTCCTGTACTAGGATTGCAGAGATGAGTAGAACACAGTTCCCGCTTATTGGTCACTCCTTGTTCATTAGAAGGACAGAATGGACAGTTACAGTGTGATAGTCCAGAACTTTGTCCCCAGGGTACTCTGGAGCACAGAGGATGTAATCCTAGGGAGGAGGGAGGCCAGGGCTTTAGAATCAAAGAAGAGAAATGGTTAACTAGGCAAGGAAGGGAGAGAGTGTGCCAGGGAGAAGGAAGAACTCATGCAAAAAACTAGAGACACAAAATAGCTCTCTAATCTCTGCACCTCAGATCAAGGCAGTGAAGCAGTACAGTGCATCCAAGAGGTGGGATTTATAATCATTTCTTTTGAATGTCTTCCAATGTAGTGATGCCTCATATGTGCAGAACTTTTTCTAAATATCAGTGTGGTTAATTCAGCAGCCCCTGTGCACCTTGTATGTTCATACTTCTCTGCTAGAGGGCCCCTGGCCTGAGGAAACAATGGGGTAGTGATAGGAATGGGAATGGTAAGGGACATTTTCAAGCTCTATTTAAAGGGGAAATCAGCAGGAGTTTGTAATTGATTGTGTCTGAGGGATGCAGCAGAGAGGAGTCTCCCACTTGGTTGCCTGTGTAGATAGAGGTACTTCCATCAGGCTGAGGTGCAGAGAGCAGGAGCAGGGTTGGAAGTAAGGTGATAAAGGGACACACCTCAGTAGGCCACACAAGAGTAAATGTCTATCTGCAGTTAGTAAGTAAATCTGGAGCTCATGCAGAGGTAAGGGCCTAGAGTTCTTGAATTGGAAGCCATCTACCAAGAAGCAGTTGAAACCATGAGCACATAAAGGTTGCTCAAGGAGGCCGGGCGTGGTGGCGCACGCCTATAATCTCAGCGCTTTGAGTGGCTCAGGTGGGCAGATCGCTTGAGCCCAGGAATTTGAGACCAGCCTAGACAAAATGGCAAAACCCCATCTCTACAAAACAAACGAATAAAAAAAAATAAGCTGGGTATGGTGGCATGTATCTATTCTCCCGGCCACTCGGGAGGCTGAGGTTGGAGAATCACTTGAGCCCAAAAGGTTGAGGCTCCTGTGAGCCAAGACCATGCCACTGAACTCCAATCTGGGTGACAGAACAAGAGGCTATCTCAGGGAGAAAAAAAAAAAGCTTGCTCAAGGGGAATGTGCAATGTGGAAAGAGCAGGGACTGATGAAGAAGCCGTGGGGAGCCTCCTGTGAGGTGGCTACTGTCATCCCCAGAGTGTGACGAGGGAAGCCAAAGAGAAGGCCTCACTGTTAGGACACGATGGAGTGGGATGCAAGCATGCAGATCTGTCAGACTCATGAAAGAGCCCCTGTACTCTCCACTACCCCAGCCCATCCTTGCAAGGAGCCGTGACAGATGAGAAAAATGAAATGGAGGAAGCCCAGCAAGGGCAGCCTAAAACAGTGTGTGGCAGCATTCAAACCTCCACCTGTCTAGAGATGAAGCTACTTAATGGTCTGAACCCTCCAACTTACCCCCAGAATACTGAGAAGCTGAGAGGTTAAGTAACTTATCCAAATTCACAAGACTACTCAAGTAGCAGAGCCAGAGTGAGGAGAAAACCTATACATTTATCTTGGCCAGAAATCCTGCTTCTGTAGGAAGCCTCCTGCTATTTTATTCAGTTGTGTGATTTTGTATGTATGCTTGTAGGCCTTCCCACAGCGTGAGTTTTTTTAATCGACTAGAGATATAAATAATATTCCTACCAAGGAAAATGTTACTTGCTCAGGCATTCTTTGTGGGGCACATTATGGGATCCAAGTAGGGCCATGGCTTGTTGGCTGCCTATGGCCCTAACTGGATTCTGCTTACTCGATGCCTTTGCCATTCCAGCCTGATCAATGCCAGCAGGGACACGTCTCCTGTATGTCCTCCTGGTCACTTCCTGAGCCTGCTGTGTAAGTGCCATGAGTCACTGTGGGACCTGCACACAGGTCTCAGTATTGTTGCTCCAGCAGGTCTGACTAGCCTCAAGGAGCCAGCCAAGTATGGAGTTTGAGAAGCCTGTGCTAGGGGAAATGGACCCCTCGGCAGTAGGAAAGATAGAGACCTCAGAGAGAGGCCAACTTGGGCTTCAGATCCTGCCTCTGCTACTAGATACATAGCTCTGAACAAGTAGCTTAATAGAGTGCATCATGTCTGTCAACACCTCTAAACTGAGTCCTCCAGGGAAACACTGCATCTTACACATTTTAGCACTTAGTAGTTGCTCAAAACATATATATACAAATTGCCTTGAAGAATAAAGAAATGGAAAGACTGAGGGAGGGAGGAATGATGGACATTTTATCTATTTTACTTAATTTTATACTAAGGATTCAGAGTCCAGAGAGGTTAAATTGCCTGCTAAAAATCACATTACAGATTAGTAATAGAAGCAGAAGAAGTCAGCTTGCAGATCATTGTTTATATATCTGTCACCTTCGGTTGGTTATATACACTTTGAAAACAGAGACCATCCATCTCTCCAAACCTGAAATACTTTGGCCAGGGCCAGGAATATAGTATTTGCTCTACAAATGAATAGATAATGGAAGCTGACAAAATGTTACTGTCTCTTAAAAAAAAAGTTCCTGTGAAAATTCCTTTTACCTAACATTTGCCAGACTCTTTCAGAATCATACCAGCTCTTCGCTGATCTAGATTAAGAAGAAATAGCTATCAGGAAGGAACCCCAAACAGATTCCTGTGTAAAATATGCCCAAGTGACTAGAAATGTAGAAATGTGAGGCAGCAAATGTTTTTCTTATTAGACGACCTAGTTGGTATTCAATTATCTTGATCTGGACCAGTAGGACCATGCTTATTTGCAGAGATGGGATAAAGGGTAATCAGCTGCCCGGTTTAAGTAGTTGTTTTCTTTCCTCTTTATGAGGGAGTGTGGTATAATAGCAAGTGCCCAGAGTTTCAATCCTGGCTTTACCTCCCAGTAGCTGTGTGTGACCTCAGGGAAATGATGTAACCTTTATGTAGGTGCCTCTAGTTATAAACTGGCAATAATGGTAAACTATTTCATGAAAGCAGTTAAAAGGATAAACTAAAATAAAGCACCTGGCCTGGGGCTTGGTACATATTAGGTGATCAGTAAAGGGTGGCTTTTGTAGCAGCAGCATGTCATAGTGAAAATAGCACAAGCCTTGGAATCTGACAGACCAAGATTAAAAGGCTGTTGCATCCACTTTCTAGTTTTGTAACCTTAGGAAAATTCCTAAATTGTTCACTTATCTGAGCTCCAGCTTGCTCGTCTGTAAGATTAGGGCGTTTATGTGAATTGGGATTGCTATGAGAATTAAATGAGGACAAAAAGTACATAAAGTCTCAACCTAGTACCTGCCACACAAAACTTCCTTACTAATTACATAGTGGTGATGATGACGTTAATTAAAAAGAGTTTCCAAATCCACTTCCTTAATTGGAAGTAAAACTTGAAGGGAACCTGCCCTCTGGGTTCCCTCCTCTCTGGGTTCAGCAACCACCCAGAGAGGAGACAGGTTTAGATTGTTGGATCATTTTTTGAGGAAGGGAAAAGGCGGCGTGCTTGCCAGCTGGCTGTCAGTTGAGATCCTTGTTAGAGAGGAGCCCAGTGGCATTTCTCCAGAGAGTGGAATTTCTGATGGGGAGGCAGACCTGATTTGTTGCCTGTGTATGACACTTAGGCCTGTGCCCAATCAACAAAACCCCATCTTCTGCACCCATGTGCTGTGCCACTATTTGTGTAGTTTGCAATTTCATTTAACAACCTCCAGGAAGCAGGCTGTCACCCAGAACCCAACAGCATTACTGAGACCAGCAAGGAAAGACAGGTCTCAGAGTGGAGCTCCTTCTCTATGCAGATTCCCACCTGGGTCAGGCTCAGGGAGCCTCAAGTATGAGGCATTCTGGGACCTCAGCCTCTGGGACAAGAGGAGGGAGAAGAAGTCGAGGCCAGAGCTTGGAGCCAACTGGCCCACCTTAGGTGTGAAAGCAAGCAAGCCAGTCCCCAGCACCCTGGGCTCTCCCCAAGACTCACTTCCTCAGACCCCGGACCCCTTCTCTGGGAGTGATTAAGGACTCCCTCAGGGACCCTGTCTGGTTCATCTTTGTCCCCAGGGCCCAGCACAGTGCTGGGTCCGGAGCAGGTGTTTAATGCAGGTGTAATGAATACAGTAGCACTATCTGATATCCTGCCACTGCTGTCCTCAAACCCACAGAAAGTGACAGAGCTGTGATGGAGAGTGATAGAGATGACCTAAAGTACGAGGGGACGGAGCAGGCATGGGAACCACTGTCACCATATTAAGTGGTTTGAATACACCTTTCTCTCCTGGCCTGGATGCCTGGGCCCCATCTGCCTAGTGGAACACTTCTCCCTCCCATGGAATCACGGGGGAATACAGTGAAGGGTGCCCACTGTTGGAACTTAGGAAAGGAGGGGCTCTAAGATCTGCAGGATCTCCAATGGACTGTCCATACAAAGAGGCCAGGACACACACTGTGGGGCTTGGGATCCAAGAGCTGGGAAGGGGAGGGCAGCGTGC